TCAGATATTCCGAAGGTCAGGTTTCGTTTGACAGGGCAAGGTGAGCTTATCGTGACAGTACTTAGTATTTTAGTTACAGACATAGTAAACACGATAGCGAAAAATGTTCTAGAAATATATGATATTAAAGATAATAAAAGTTAGTAGGTAACCGAAAGTTACAAAGTTTCGCTTGACTTGTTCTAGAGAAAAGGAATATCATGTACTGGAAGGTAAGGTTTGTCCTATTCTCTCTACGATAAGTTCAAAAACACATAAGTTATTTACGCTCCATAAAAGGCAGTAGGAGCCGTCTAGTCGTAGTTACGGTCTTATGAACAAGACCACATAACTCCATGTGGTTGTAATCTCCGTTAGAACCACATTGTATCCGATGATCGCTCCGATGCACTTGTTTGCTTCGATTTTATTCATTTCTAATACACAATTTTCAATAGTACCGTTAATAAGCTTATTTAGTTTAGTTCTAGTTTTTTTTCTAGATCAAGGACTGTTTTTTTGCTGTTGCAAACGGAAAAGCAGCGTAAAATAAGATTAGCAGCTTAATACTGCCTAAGCCTATAAGTTGATTCCGTTTGCAGTCTTCCAATAGAAGTGGCTTAAGTATCGGTGAAGGTGTGAAGGGCATACGTAGGGCAATGAAAATGAGTGTGAAGTAAAATAAAGACTTTGGTGCATATTCAAAGTCTAATTAAACTGTATGAACAAAAATAAACTGATGTTGATTGAAGTACGGTAGGTAACATAGGTTTAAAAATATCTAATTTCAGAGTGTCAAAAAAACTATGTGAATAAAATATTTTGATATGATAAATAGAAACCACTTCAATTTAAACTTATCACCATAAAGTGCAAACAATAGTAACTACTGGGTCACAGATTTAAACCATAAAGTGTCACGGTTTAATTTGCAAAACGAACAACTCAGATTACGATATTTATTACTGCTATTATATTGGGATCGTAACATTTGTAATTGCTTATAGCTTTAATGGGCTATAATTTATGCAAATGCCCAACTGTGACGTCACGTTTTCTTCTATTGATTTGTTATCACGGTAGTGATAATGAGTCTTACTTGACCATTGAATTTTTCTGTTGACTTAATAACTAATGGATTTAATCTTGAAATTCGTCTTCGGTTAGTTGATTTTATGAATTAGAGTATTCCAAACGTCAATTTCTTTTACATTTATCAACATTAAACAAATATTACCTGCTTTGCTAAGCTATAAAATATTAGAAATCAGCAAATTCTGTACTTATCGTAAAATTAAGTTAAAGTTCCCTTTATTTATAACGTCTAGACCTAAATCCAGACAGGCTGGGATGCAGAGCAGCGGGTGAATATTTAAACAGATTATATTTAGTCCAGACGGTAACTGTCGCGGTTAATGGATGTTATAGGCGCATATTTCAAAATGTGGAGAAAATGGCCGTTCGACGAAGATCTCGCAGTGAATGAAAGGCTTAATATTTATGGAGTTTTAGAAAACACCATAATCCCATTATTATATATTATTATAATATATATTAGAATTCATTCTTAGATACTAATAATATGTGGAACACTTCGGAAACACAATATTGACACAACTGAATTTAGTTAAGATGCAGCGCTGCTCTACGATCGCAAATCCAAGAAAAGAAATGCAAATGGTCAGGGATTATTGTACAGTATGTTTAGAATTTAAACTTACGTAAATTAGATAACTTTAAAGGCTGACTTAGGTTTTACAAGGTGGTTATTTCACAGTATAAGGTTGGCTGGTTGCGATTATAAACGTGTAGTTGCGATGTCTGGCCAGTTCCCATTAAAGGTCGCAGTGTAAAGTGATATGTAGCTTCGTTGCAGACTGGCAGCTGTGTCCCACTTTCCTCGTCTTTTACAACTGCCGGGAAACAGATGGGTTACTTATTTTTATTTGCAGAACAAGGCCCAGTCTTCGAACGACCTTATCAAAGAGTTGGTGGTACAATAAAACTTTTGAATTGTCAATGTGCTTTATTTATGGCCTCGGAGATAACAATGGAAGAAGTTTAGAACGGTTTTGAGTTTTCGCTAAACTTTAGAATTCTGTTCAATTTTGGAAAATGATGTTTCATTTTATACAGATTCTTGTTAGCTGGTTTTCCAGGCAATATACAACAGTTGTCGTTAATGGAAGTTCATTCAACACTTATGATTTATTTGATAGTTGTTTGTTAGAAAAATAAGGCTAGAATTTACATCCATCTAAAAGTAGCCATTATGTAATTTATTCCATGGTGCACAGTATTACACCACAATGATAATGATACATAATGACATTTCTCGAATGTAAAATGTACATGTTATGGACGTTAAAATTATCATACGTTTCAGTGCCATGTTTTATGTGTTTCTTAGTTGGAACTAAAAGGATTCTTAGTTTTGTGGACCGTGCGTGTTGCGGGATAAGTAACATCTTTTATGGGTTTATGTATAAACCTCATTTGGTTTCATTAACAATAATTGTATACCTTTTAAATTCGAAAAAAAAATACCACTAATTTTAAAAATCTTTCGTAAAAGAACGAATTCACTCGAGATCAAAATTTCAATATGCAAATTGACTCCCACCTTAGAAGTTTTGGGTGCAAAACCCACATTTCAAAGGATTGTGCAGTGATTATCGTGATTTGACGTCATCGGCATGATATAGCGAATCTCGACCACCCTTGGTTCAGTGACACTGCGACTGGTTCGACTGGTTCCTGAGCCTTGCCGGCGGCGGCGGCGCGCTAAATATGGACTATCTTCTGCAACTCGTGACCGGTTTTAATGCATACTATATTAATTGGATTTAGCTTTGTTTGGCATTTGTCAAACGCAAGATATGAGTAACCTAAGTGGCTTTTAATTGATGATACAACTTATTGGTTGCGGTATTGTTTCTTAATAAACTCAATGTGAAGTTAAGGGCTGTATGTATTTTTCGTTAGCAGTGTTATTAATTCTGTCAGTGATTCATTGGTGTTTACGGGCGTGATCTCGTAACCTTCATTTAAATGTCAATTTATTAACGAAATTTTTCGCTAAAAGACGTCTATTGCTGAACAGTCTTCCCCCTTAGTTCGCACGCATACCTATAACTAGTTTTAAAGTCGTTATTGTCGATCAGCATAAAGTCGACATTAGCTTGGTGTGCGCGAATTATTCCACCTTTTTGTGTAAAGGTGCATCTGCAGTGCTGTCGAAATAGTATATCGTTAACATTTTCCATCACGCCCGCCATGTCCCGACCGGTTTATTACTCAGAGTTACGATGTCCGTGCCAATAAACGGCCATATTGTTTGAAGGAAATTTTATTTCAGTATTTTGCAGTAGTTAAATAGGTTTATAATGGCGGTCAGATAAGGCTGCGTTACTAGGATCGTTTATCGTGATGGAGGTAGGTATTTTAAACCATGTTGAACTAAACAAGAGTGGTTTTTGTTTAATACCTAAGATATTTTAATGAGACATTTCATGTTTTTATAATAACTATCGTGAGACATACTAAATTAACTAAAAATCGCGGGTTGCACACGTGAATATACTGAGAAAAGCTCTACTAGTTTCGAACCATATAGGGGTTCTTCCTCATGAGCAGCGTGTGCTGTCGCGGCAATGTCGCGCAGCCTACTGACAGACGGACTAGTGGTTCGAAACTAGTAGAGTTCTTGTCAGTATATTCACGTGAGTAACCCGCGATTTTTAGAGACATTTAATATAAGAGGTAGGTATGATCTGCCTAAAAATTTATTATGTGATTGCTGCATTTAGTTGAAATATTTATGCAATAAGCAATTAGATAAATGGGTATTAAATTATTCAAGAAACATCATTTGCTGAAAATATCGCTCGGTTTAATAAAGATGGCAGGAGGTATCAAACATTTTCTAGAAGTTCCTTTTGTTCTATCATGAACTCATGATTTAGGCTAGGCTGGTTGGTGACAATAAACTATTGAAAAGCGGACTTCTACACAGCCTTTCATCCAATTCATATGAAACATATTAAATTCCCTTAAGCTAGTTTTAATTGTACAGTAGGAGCTAAAACATTATCCGGTTTCATAAACAATCCAAGCTGAACAAAACAAGGGATTTACAAAATAGCCAGTAATGTTTTATGTCATGCAATAAATCATAATAAACCATGGGACCAAATAAAGTCAAACCATGGCGGTGTCCTTGACAGCATTACATAACCATTTCTATGTCATGTCCTTGACCAAATGAAACACAAGCAAGTCATGCTGATAATAATTTGTTGTCTTTGGCATTAAAAGAAAAAATATTTTAAATATGGAATGTAAGTAAACTTTATGGTTCATATACAGACAAATTTAGGTAGGTACTACTTATACAATATTTTTATCTTGGAATTTATTATTTTCTGTTTTTAAATTCAATGTTAATTTTTGTTGCAATATTTAGGTTGAATGACCAGATGTGTCATTCTTCATGCAGGTACTTAGGTACTTGACTTAAAAACAGTAACCATTGCAATGGATTGGTAATTGAATGTAAATTGTTCTAATTTCAATTTGAACCTGACAGTCTGCTTGTTTCATAGAAACTCACTTCTGAAAAAGTAGGTAATTTTTTAACTAGGTAACAAAATAGTCAAGCTTGGGTTAGAATACTACTACAAAATAATAGGTAATATAAATATTATAAGAAAACAAATTAATTCGTTAATTAAATCTCAAGTTATTTTATTTTAATAATTTATTTCTTCAAAACAAAACATTGTTAGGTATTTATTCAAGGTTTTTCCGTAAAACGCACATCACATTTTGTTTATTTAAAATATAGCAGATAATATGAATTATTTCATTAGTGATAAAACATAAAATTTATTTGCGACGAGCGAGAGCGACCCTCGATAACAAGTCAAGGAAAGGGTGAGCTACCCACGCAAAAATTAAATATAGATCACACTGGCCAAGATACTATAATTTTAAATGAAATCAATAAATTCAGCACTCACCTTCAGCGACATTATGGATGCAAATCGATTACAGCACTACACGTGTGCTCAAACAGTCATAATTCGAAATATTACAATTTACACACAGCACTATTTATATTACGATAAAACTGAACACATTCTGTTTTTATCATACTTTAGCGCACATTACGTAAGGAACAATAATAATGTATGTTTCATTTACAATTGTTTGTGTTAATATTGTCGCGGATCACAGCTGAAAGCGGTATTATTTTTGTCGATACTATACAAACGGGCGTACGTCAACAAGATATCGTCGTATTTTCGACTCTGCGATTTTTCCCTCGCTCGCCGAGTTGCGCGCGTTTTGACAGCTATCAACTGGCGCGTTCCAGCGACAACCATTCATAAAATTGACATAGTCATAGATAAAAAGGGACTCATATATAAATAAAATTTATTTATATTTAATAATTTAAATCTAAAGTAATGAAACAGAAATGTAATTTTTATTCAAATAATAAATAATCATATAAGATAATACAGATAAGTACTTGACTTGACCTAGACCTTAACCAGCTAGAAATCTAGCTAGAATATTTAGAACGGAGTTCCTTTAATTATAATAAAACCGAATATTTATTAATATTAAGGTGTTCATTTTTGTTTAATGAAACCGATTTTTTAAAATTAATCTCATAAAACACAAGTCATAACTTAGAAATTAAAATCAAACTTATTTTTTATTATTCTCAACAATCAAATGCAGTTTAACAGCCTCAATTGCAGTTTTAGCATTATATTTGTGAGAGTGAGCCGTAGTTAAATGAGCACGTAGTTCGGTCGCCGTATTTGTATTATAGGGACACAATCTACAATGGTAAAGAAATAACCCTGGGTGACGTCCACTTCGGAGTACGTGCTTGCGAAGATTCTCCTGCAAAAAATAATTCACAATTATCACATTTCGCTGATTTTAAATGAAATCAGGAATAAACATTATAAAAACTAGATGGCGCTAACACCAATATGCTTTTTATTGCAATGAAAAGAAAAATATTTACAGTAAAATCCTAACAATTTAATAAGTAACTATATAAAAATACGGAGAATATTTATGAATGTTTGATGATTTCACAAGTATATACTTACCAAGCTCCCACATGTAAAAGAACAATGAGGACAGGCATATGGTTTAACTCCTTGATGACACAGCATGTGCCTCTTCATATGACTTGCTTGATCGCTTTTAAATGTACAAAGGTGGCATTCATGGTGTTTTATACGCTCCCCGTGAGATCTGCGGTGTCTGAAAATATTATTATTTCGTTATTTTGTAATAGCGCCATCTATTGTCGAGTAGAAGTATTATACAAATTGAAGACTTGGGTATCTTTCACTTTGGTTTAAGGACAACTATTGAATTGAAGAATTATAACTCTGTCAAGTATAATTTTAATTACAATAATTTATTTTAATGTGACGCAAAGTAAGATTTTTAAAATTTCTTTTCTAGTCTATTATATCAGTTTAACGCCATCTATTGTGTTATACAGTAAATAATTGAATCACTGTATGCGATTGGCTTTTTCTTAATTTTCAATTACATTAACAGATGGCGCTGTCTATAACTTTTATTTTGTTGATAAAACATTACTTGGTGTTGTAAGTAAATACTTAAAACTTGCAGCTCACCTGGCCAATTGACTTGAATTCGTGGCCACGTATGTACACTGGTCATGTGGACAGTGACGTGCAGTGGGCCCACTGGCACAGCTGCTGGTGTGACGGGATAATGCCGATCTGAAATTATAAAAGTTATAATTTGTACTATTGGTACAGGTTTCATGAAAGGATTTGTAAGGAGTAAGGTGGTGAACATATTTTATACGAGGTTGGGAACTTGAAGGCGCATCACCTGACAATGGATAAGTAATTCTACTTACCTACTTGTAATTCACCTAGCATTCACTAGGTGAGTTACAAGTGCGTTGGTAACCTTTGAAAAGCATTATTTTATGAATAATAGTAATATTTTATGATTGAATGATGGGTATATGTATATCATATCTATTAATAAGTATTTATTATGGGTAACACATTTTTTGTCAGTAACATAAATTTATATTATGTAGCTTGCACCGAACACTAATTCAGTCACGCTGGGAGTCATGTGTAGGTATCTATGTGAAATTATTTGTAAAATGCATCCACGTCCACGGCCCAGGAGGAGAAACTTGTATGGTGTGGAGCAATATTTAAAAAAGTTACTGCTTTGTGCCAGTATGACTATAATACATAATTATGTAGGTAGAGGGTACTGTCCCAGTACCTACGGAGAATTTTCGAGAATTGAAAACCTTAATACCTACCTACCTATGTATTACTTGCACCTTACTCGATTTGTAGCACTTACGAAGTTACGAACACTCAAACAAAAGCAATGGGATAAGTTCTTACAGTAGGTACCTTCCTAATCTTTCTTCGAATGGTAGGTAATTAATGCATAAGAAATTGATAAAAAATATTTTAAGATACTAGAATGCCTAGTTCAGTTGATTAAATATGCAGTAGTAGGTATCTAATTAGACAGTACAGTCTCAAGACGAGACGCTAGAATGCAGCCTGCTAGCAGTTACCTAGGACAAGAATGTGATGGGAATGGGATGCCTTAGTCTTAGCACATGTTTATATCTTAACTAGCGAATGTAGCTGTGTTTGTCCAACTTTATTAGTTAAAGTGGTGTTAAAATACATTTTGTAATCAATAACATGTTCTGGTTTCACGTTTTACTTATATTTAATTAATTTTATTCCATCCATGGAGCATCTAAAAGCAGCTTAATAATAGTTGTGAATGGCACAAAAATCATTCAGTTATTAAATGTCAATCAATCGACAGATATCAGATGATATCAGAATTATCAGAGGCCCAATTAGATACCTATATACTCCCCTCCCCAATCTTCCCAATCCGTGAATCTACAACAGTCCTCAAGTTCCTAATCCTCAAAAAGGCCGGTAACGCATCAGGTGATTCGCCTGCTGGTTTACCGGCTTATCGATTCCTGCACGAAACCACTCTTTGTGTAATCACAAAACATTTGGTTCATATTTCAATGGCGTTTGTGGTTAGAGGTTTATAAACGCAACGACATACTAAGGAAAAGGCGTTAAAAATCTCAGCGAAATATGTTTCTGGACAAAGTCACAGGCAGAGCGTGTAAAGAAATAATTTACTTGAAATAGTGAAATATAGCGTCGGTCACAGCGGAGTCGCGTGCTGCTTCACTCCGGCCCGCTAATGAATCACTCGGAGCCAAGCTAACTATAGCGGTAATGGATCGCGTTTAAGGGCGCACGCACCAACAACACTGACAATTTGTCAGCAACTCATAAAGTAAGTAGGCTCAGTGCTCAGTGCTCAGTGCTCAGTGCTCAGTGATATATTCATATTGTCTCATTCATTTTGTGTGTAGTTTCCTGTATAATGAAGTATTGCACTCGTCATCCACGAGCACTTGACTGTCGGTCGGATTGAGAAAAGAAAATCTATATAGAAATTAGTTGAGGCTAGTTTGACGGTTATTTCCAATCGTGGCTACTGAAATAATCAAAGTTGTAGGTCATTGTTTTCAAATATAGGAAGATAAATTGGCTGAAGTAAGACAGAAGTATAAAATCACCCGCTAAATAAACAGGCACCAAGCTACCGAGCCACCTAGACGCAGGAAACCAATTTAAACCGAAACCACCAGAAACCATTCCCACTAAAAACTCTTTCGAAACTAATAAGCATTACAGTAATAATTTCGCGTGCATAATCTGGCAACACTGGCCCACCGCGGCGACAGTTAACTCGCTCGGTCGCATTACAGCGGCAGTGCATTAATGCAAGGCGTCGCAATAACGCGTAAGATATTACACAAGTTAGATCATCAGCGCTGTTAGACGCCCCCAATGGCTCTGCTATGTCCTACAATTGTCTAGATCCGTTGAAAGTTCCCTTAATGACGCGCCGACTTGATTCATGCGGTCTGCGGTTAAGTTCCAACGTCTTACTGCTGTGATTTTAGCATTAATGGAGGAACGAGGATTGGAAATTTCAATTTATATTGGCGTTTGAATCCACTGACTGTATTTGAACTTAATTATGTTATAAAATACGAAGCGATTAGATATTCTGATGTCTGGTTTGCTTTTTTTTTTTTTTTTTTTTTTTT